TCGCATCCCCAGCAGGGTATGTTGATGAGGGTGGACAAGAGTGTGTGCGCAGATTGAGTAACTCAGGCTTCATAAGGACAGTCACATGTTTTGATTGTAGGGCTTTAATGAACATTTTCCACCTGGCTAAAAGACAGGTGGATGTTCTGATAAGTGTACACAGGGGCACATATTGTTCTTTTTCCTCAGGTTCTGATATAGCCTAGCTAGCACCACAGGTTTGGAACCAAAAATTGATGGTTTTCATCTGGGGGAAGCTGAGATTTTCTAAAGGAATTAGGATAGTGATTAAGTAAAGTGAAAACAGGAAAGTGGAAAAGCAGAGGGAGAAAGGAGAGCTTTTTCACCTTCTCCTGCTTCAGCCTCCAAGCCCCTCCACTTTGCCTGCAGCTTGACTTTTGATGGTGACAGTGTAGCTGTAAATGATGTGTTGAGTGGAAAACTTGCGTTCTAAGCTGGGCTGGTCCATGAATGAGCTTGCCATTTCCAAGCTTCCTTTTGTTCTCTCTGTAAAATGAGTAGCTGGACTCAGTTACCTCTAATCTCATATGCAGCTCTGATAATCCACATGCCTGCATTTTATCTGTAATAATCCTGGACTATATAACTTTGATTATGTGACTGTTTCTGTTAATAAGCATTTCGTAATACTTTCTGTTCCCTAAATGGGATTGCTGGGTTTTCTGGGTGAAAGTTAGACTTCAAATGCAATAAAGCTTTGCTCCCAGTTGCCTCTGAAGACTTTGTACCTTCGTTATCTCCTCTACTTTTTTCATCTCTGCTACCTTTAGGACGTGCTTGGGTTTCTCCTACATGGAAAACAAAAAGGGATTTTCACTCTTCCCCAGTGTCACCATTTTAACTTTCACTACCAAGTAGTTTTTGCTCAGTCCTTTCTCCAACACCTGTCTTTCATGTTCATGCCTCTCTCCTCAGCACCTAGGACAGCAACTAAAACATACTGGAGGCTTGGTTAGTGCTTAGATAATGAAGGACTGAACCCTTGTGAAATCAAGTGTCTCCACCACCACTGTATGGAAAGGAGAGCTCTCACAGTCTTTGGCTTTTGTGGTTTTTGACACTAGTCACTGTCCTGTACCCCTTCCTTTCATTGCTGCCTCACATCTCTCTATCCTCCTGAAAATGACTAGATTGAGCATGACCTCTTCCTCAGCCTTACTCTTTCAGGGGAGGGTCCTGCTCAAGGTTTAGGGATTTTTTGGCAGGGGGTAGTAATTAGGTTTATTATTTAATTTTTAGAGGAGGTACTGGGGATTGAACCCAGGACCTCATGCATGCCAAGCATGCACTTTACCACTTGAGCTATCCCTTACCCACTCAAGGTTTAGTTTTGTTCTTTCTTCAGAAATCTCTGGCACCACCAACTTCTCGGGTTACCTGTAGAGGAGAGACTCTCAGATCTGATAATCATCTTTAACTCTGTGTCCTCTTATCCCATGTTTTCAATTGCTTTTTGGAGACTTGGAAGCCATACTTTCACTGTAGGCTTAGTATGACATTGCCCCTCCCTCAAAATGGACTTTCCTTCTAAATTCTCTGTACTCCATGTCATGTGTTCAGCCGCACATGCTCAAAACCTACTCTTTCCTCACCTTTGCTACCCTGAGCTGATAAAAGATCAAGTACTTTCCCTCGTATTTATCCTTTTCCTTTGTGTTTCCATCACCATAATCTTTAGTCAGAAATGCTCTCATGCTTGAGAGACTGGAAGAGTGCCCCACACGTGCCTGCCACCACCAGATTCTTCTTCCTAAACCCAAGGTTCAATATTCTGTTCTGCCAATTTAAAAATTAAAAAACCCAGGATAAAATGTCTCATGACCGCCTCCCCCCTGCCCCGGCTATAGACTAACAAGTACATGTTACTTCACTAAATTGAGTATTCAAGACCCTTTCTAAAAAAAACTATTTTGTAGTTGACTTATAGGAAACATTTTAATTTGGTAAAGTACAGATCTTAGTTACATAATTTGATGAATTCTGACAAATATATATCTATTTGTCAAACACGCCAATCAAGATATAAAACATTCTACTTCATCATCCATGTCATTTTTCCTGTTAGTTTTATCTCTTTTGTTCAGGAATCAAGAATTTTAAAAAATGTTAATTACCAACTTTCCTTGTTTTTCATAATCTTTCTGTGATTGTTATAAGCCTCATATAAAACCAACCACATTAACATGAGGCAAAAAAAAAGATATAAAACATTCCCATCATCTTAGAAAGTTCCCTTGTACTGCCTCCAGTCACTCTTTAGCCCCTTCATCTGATTTCTATCAGCGACTACTTTTGCCTGTTTCTGAACATCATATAAATGTAATCACTTAATATGTACCCTTTTGTGTTGGCTTCTTCCACTCAACATATTTTTGAGATTCACCCGCATTGTTGTGTATGTTAGTAGTTCAGTCTTTTTCATTGCCAGACAGAATTCCATTGTATTGATATACCACAGTTTATCTATTCTCCTGTAGTATTTGGATTGTTTCTAATTTGAGGCTAGTATGAATAAATCCTCTATAAATAATCTTATACAATCCTTTTTGTAAACATGTGTTTGATTTCACTTGGGTGAATTACTAGGAATGAAGTTGCTCCTTCTGTCTCTGTCTGGGTCTCTGTCTCTCTCTTACACGCGCGCGCACGCACACACAGATGTCCTCACTCACCTCTAATCTCCTCGACTAGATTATAATCACTTTGAGGACAAGCATATGTCGTTTCTCTTTGGACTTGAGGCTTAGCAGAGTTTCTTTAACATAGTAGATAGTTGAGAAATATTACTTGATTGAGCAATTTAACTACATGAAGAAATCACACTGCTATTTCATTTTATGGTGGTGGAGACAGTAAAAGCCCCAAGGACTGAAGTGTCCTGGAGAGGTCAGTGACGAACAGGAGAGGCATCTGTAATTCTGCTCCCTGTCTGCATGCCCCCCATGCTGTGGGTCCACTTACTGCTACCTTCTCGACGTACTTGTAGGCTGTTACTGCTCTGCGTTTCCAGAGTGAATGGAGAGTTCTGTCATACAGAGGGCAGTGACCTAGAGTACAGAGGCTGCTGCCTGGGTTTGAATTTAGGCTCCAGAGCTGAAGTTGAATGATTACTTTTTCAAGATATTTAAATTTCCCGAGCTTCAGTTTACTCTTACGTAGACAGGGGTTACAATGCTACTTGACAAGTCTGTTAGGACCATTACATTATCATTATTATTATCACTAGTATTTTTGGTGTTAGGCAGTGTTTTTACAAATGCTAATCCTCACGATAGCCCTATGGTAAAACTACTCTCTCCATTTTATGTAAGGGGAAACTGAGTCACAGAAAAGTTAAATAATATGTGGCCTATCCCACTGCTGGTTTATGGTGGGGCCTAAATTAAAAATCAGGCAGTCTCAGTCAAGAATGTATATACTTAACCCCTGTAATAGACTGCCTTCCCCAAATAAAATGAGGCACATAGAACGCTGTGCCCAGTGCCCAGTACGTGTCCGTGTTCAGTAAACGTTACTTGCTTCACCATCATCATCATCATCACCACCATTCCTAGGTCTCTCTCTTTTTTTAAAGCATTTATAGATAGCTGTGGCTTTGTCTTCCATTTAGGTGGTACACATTTGAATTGGTATAGTATAAGGGATTCTTTGTTACGTCAAATTTTAAGTTCAAATTCCTACGTATATAGAAATGTAACTAATGTTTACTTGGGGTGATGGTGGTGGCACAGACT